CTTAAAACTGGGCCCCACAATGTAGGAAAAACAAGGACACACACACACACACACACGTTTGTTCTTGAAACCCATGGGGACCTTCCATTGACTTCCATTCATTGTTTTTAGACTTTATATCCTAACACTGACCATATACCGTAAAACTAATCTAAATTCAATTCACACATTGGTCCTAAACCGAACCCCTAACCCAAAATCATCCTCCTCCAGTCGTGCGGACCGAGTTTTGGTCCCCACAGCACCACCTGGTCCCCACGTGGCTGCATTTTCTTGAAAAATCATCCCCATCAAGTAGCAAAAACAAGGGCACACACACAAGTTTGCACAGCTATCTAATTGGGGACATTCCCTTGACTTCCGTTACATTTCTACAGCCTAACCCTGACCACAAACCCTAAGGCTAACCTCACCTGACCCTAAAACAAACCTAAACTCACACCTTGGTCCTAAACCCAACCCCCAACCCACCAATGGCATTTAAACCAAATGGGGACTCGACTTAGGTCCCTAAATGTAAGCGTTTTGTCTCAAAATTGCCCCCAAATGTCACCAAAAACAAACCCACACACACAAAAAGAAGTATATATTAAACCAACCWTTATGCACAGTATATAAAAATACAAATACATCTTTTTTTCTATTTGACACCAAAATATTTCCTCTTTCAGGTTAGTCGTGAGTCCCAAAATGATTTCTCTTTTCAAAGTACCAAAATAATGTGAGAATTTTTTACTACATTCTTCAAAGCTGCAAATTTACATACATTATGATGCCTTTCCTCCTACTACTATTTTATTTATAAAGCCTTTTAAAAACAAATACAGATGGAATAAAGAACAGGATTTAGGTAAAAACAACATAACTGAAAGGAAAGCATTATTTTATATGATTAAATATTAAATAAAAAATGGTTTTCAATGGGTTCATTATTTTCTCAAAGGAAAATAAATAAATAAACAAACAAATAAACAAACAAAAGTCAATGCATAACTGATTTCCCCCAACAAGACTACGTGAAGGTAAAATTTGTCCTGATATGCTCAAACAGAACCTCCAACACCAGGAGGAGGTATTTACTAACTGGTAAGCTGGACAGGACAAAACCCTTGGTTACGTCTACCCGACCTATTCTTGACCAGTAAAATCAAACCAATATATGAATCATCATTTTGCCATATTTCATGCCTCCAGCCATCAAGTGATAATGAGCTGAGTGAAAAACCTTTTCCTTTAGGGCACCAACATTTGGCGATTTCATCCTGACTTACTCGATATAAACTAACCCTATTATTAGAAAATAATAGTYATAAAGTAATATGTGAGCGCTGCATCAGGTCTCATGAAGTGATGTTCAGTTTTCATCACATCGTAGGTTGAGTTTAGAGACTTGTTATAAGACTGTTCAAGCAGAAAACCCTCTGGAGTGTATCAGAGGAACCAAGGGGGTCTCTTGTGAAGGCTCTACCAGTTTCTCCTCCTTGGCAATCACTGTCAAAACATTTCATTTTCACCAGTGATGCCTCCACAGGTCAAACCCAGTCAGGCTGGTGGTCCAGTCTGTAGTTGCCCAACACTGAGGCACTCGTGAATCAGGAACAACACTTGTGACTGGTCTTTTTACCTTTAGAGATGGCAGAGAGGCAGAGTTAGGCATTGTTGAGGCACTGGGGGTGATGGATAGTTTGTCTTCCCCAGTCTTCCTTCTAACATGATGATGGTTTCTTCACCCACTCTGATACTCCAGTCTGCAGCTCTGTGTTGAACGGTACTAAAGACAATCAGTTCCACCATGACCAGAGCTCCAGCCAGCTGTCCTGGGTTCAGCCATCACCTGTGTCAATCAGCTGGTGTGTGTCAATGAATGGACTACCTGCTGGTCCCAGAACAATGGGCCTCATGCAAGAACCGTTCGTACGCACAGATTTGTTCTTAAGTTGTGCGTTCAAGTGATTTAGGAGAATTTGTGGCATTTGTCAATTTTCTCGTATTCTAAGATTTTTTTCAGATACGAACAAAATTCACGAGTGGTCCAGACCTGTCGTATATTTTACGAGCAGTCAGTCTGCTGTTATCCAGAAGGATTTTTCTCATTAATAACTTTATATTTCGTTAGTTTGAAGATAGAGTTGAAAATAAATCACACTCCATAATTATGTTGACAGTAGGCTATTCTGTTTGAATTGGAATTGGATTTTAAATGTAACTAACGACATAAATTGGTTAGATTAAATTAAATTGGCTTTTAATGCTGTTGTATAACACTACAATATTAATATGAAGATCTCAAACTAAAAACCAACTTAAATTATGCATTAATTGAAGTTTGGAGACATTTTAAAATGCTTTTTTCAGAACCACATCTGACACTTGAGACGGCCAGGTGGGGGTTGCGGTGCGCGACTGCTCTTCTTCTGAATAAATGTAACACAATTGTTTACACTTAAATTAAAAGTATTTGACCAAAGAAAACCCGGAGCAGGACTAGAGAGAGAGAGATGAATACGATTTAGATTTTTATTTCTGTGACTGTATACGATCCATGGGACACATGACATTAACAGCAGTAGTTATTTCATTCCATTCTTTGGCTTTAGCAGCTCCTTTAATTCTCTTTCTCCGTGAACACAACATTAACAGTCATCATTTGATTCCTTGGCTGTAGCAGGTCTGATGCTGCTAAATATTTTTTTCTGGATCTCTGACAGCAGGACTTCAGTCTCCCAAGTCGTAACGCTCTTCTTTTTTACTTTGCAATGTCATTTATGAATGGACACTTTCCGCAAGGTTCCCACAGGTCCTTGAAATCCTTGAAAGTTTGTGAATATGAAAAACATGATTTCAAGACCATGGAAAGTTTGTGAAAACAGCCAAAAATTACACTTGTCCTTGAAAGTCCTTGAATGTTTTTTGGGGATTGGAGTTCTCTATTCACATGACAGATTTTCATCATCTGTAAAAAAAACGAAACTTATAATAAAATAAATTTAAAAAAACTTACATTTGTTGCGGTGGATAACTCAGGATTATGGTAAACTGACGTGGCTTTCAACAAATAACATGAGTCACAGTCATAGTTTTACCCAATCAGAGCAGAGTAGGGCGGGTTGTTCTTTCTGAGCCCAGGTGAGAGCACCACAGCTCCTCCTGTCCTCACTGAGCATCTGGACATGTTCACGTCCCCTCCTCCCAAACTGAGCTGCCCAACCTCCCAGGACATAATTACATGTCCGTGAATTGTGGATATAAATGTAGGGTATACATTTAATGCACTTTATTTCATTGATTCTGACTCAACAATTTTTATGTTCAGTTTTCCATTGACTTTACATACTAAACCTGTTTATTTATAACATGCAGCAGTAGTAGTAGGTAATTACCGTCACGCGTGGTTCTTGAATTTCAGGAAATTGGTACTGGAAAGTCCTTGAAAGATCCTTGAATTTAATGTTGACCAAGGGGTGGGAACCCTGTTCCTGGTATGTCGGGCAGGAAACGTAGCCTTATATGGTGTTTTTGAGTTGGTAATTATGCTAATGACCTCTCCTCGTGCATGAGCACCTGATACACATTCATCAGTTTATGCTGCTTATTCACACACTTTTCCTGAAGATAGAAGAGTTTGCTGAATCTGTCGTGACATGTTCGTACGAACAAAATTAAGAGAAATTTAGGATAAGAATACAAACACGTTCTTGCATGAGGCCCATTGATCCGCAATCAGTGTCTGCAGTCCATGAGGGAGTGGCTGCATTAGTTAGTACTGTTATGGATTTTGTAACATCACTGACTTCCTGGCTTCTTAACACTAGTGTAACAAGTCTTATGCTTTCTCACCACACCCAGTCCTTAAAAACATAACTGGTCTRTATTTTTATTGATTTCAAGGACCACACTTCTCCATGCCTTCTGTTCAAAGGTAAGGTCTGACATCCACCAGCAGCTCTTCTCAGTCCTAGCAGCTAAAGAGAGTGTAAATTAGAAAAAATCCTCCACAATTGTGTCAGTCTCTGCTGGCACAGGTCCTGAATCATTACTTAATATCTGCAACTAGGTTAGTGTGAGAGTGGTGATGAGACACACCTGTCCTCTTGTAGAAAGTAAGGTTAGGGTTAGAGTTAGGACTATTGGAGGAAGACAAGCAGGATGTTTTCCCTCCTGTTATTAGTCTTTTGAGTTAGGGGCAGCAGGTCACTTTACTGACCAATAACAGGTTGAATAATTTATTAACTCTTTTATAATCAGAACCCAGCCACTGAAGTGGAAAACTTTGATTGTGTAAATTCTTATTCACACTGTTGATGGATGGATAAATATTTTCTGTACTTTTTACCTTCTGTTCTAGCTCTACTTTTTTAACTTATTTGTACTAATTTCAGCTTCCTTTGGCTTTTATTTGGCTAATTTTAGCTTTTCTCTGCTTTTTAGCTATCATTCTGACCTTTTCTGATATTTTTCTAATTTCAGCTTTTTTTGTGCTTCTTTCAGCTTCTTTCTGCTAGATTCAGCTGTTTTCTCTGTTTTGAGCTACTGTTTAGCTAATTTTAGCCTTTTTTCAGCTACACTCACTTTTTTTGTGATAACTTCTGCTTCTTACTGTTTAATTTAGCAAACATGCTCTTTCTGTTTTTTTGTTCTAATTTCAATTTTTTAATCTATTTTTAGACTAGTTTAAGCTTTTTTAGCTACTCAGCAAAAATCTTTCAGCATTAAGCATTCACACTGCAACTCTCTCCATCCAGATGGTGTCTGTCTGTATTTGGCCTCAGGATTTTCAAATGTACCATAAATATATAATCAGAGATATATACGGTATACATCAATAGACTGGGTGGGATTATCTTCACTTTGGTCTGCAAGTGGACCAAATTCTGTTCAAACTGAATGTTTCTTTCTTAATGCTATTTTTTATTCATCTTTTTCTTTCATTTCTTTTAAGTCAGCAAAATTTTAAAAATATACATTTGTTTAAATCACAGGTTGTGATGCAGTAAAATTTTAAAAATATCAAAATGAGTAAAGAGATTCCGAGGCCCTCTATTGACTAATGCTGTCGTGTTTTCCTGCAGACTCCTGTGGACTCATCAGACCATGACACCTTGATGACCATGCTTGTAAAGACAGAATTTAAGGACTGACAGCTGTTGAAAAATAAACACAACTTACTTGATGTTGTCAATGAGCTTGTTCAGAACATTAATGATGATTTGTACTCCATACAGTGATTAAAAGAAACAACAGTTATGAGGTCAATGGGGAGAAGGATGTTTGGAAGAGAGGAAGTTATTTATTCTAATTTTCTTTGTTTTATTTGGTTGTTTTTTTTCCTTTAAAGTGGAATTATCTTTTACATTGAATGAGCTTTTTCCAGATCCTTTACTTGACTAAACTCCTGCAATGCACCATGAACCCTCAGCATTGTTTGTAATAATGTCATTGTACATGTGGATAGTGACAGGTTTCTTTGTATACTACACCAGGAGAAATGTAGGAAGAGCCCATCTGAGTCAGAAAAACATTGTATGTAGCAAAGTCAGAGCACATTGTTGTTTTCAAAATCAAGAAGTGTAAAACTTGATAAAGTGGTTGGTGTTAYACATTTGTGATGAATATAGAAGTGTTAGTCACTGACCTGTGAGTGTATTAAAGCAGATTCCACTGACTGCAGATAAAAAACAGCAACTTAATAAAGATTCAGAAGGATGAAACAGCACTTTTCTGATTCTACTTCTGTGGTGCGGTGGCGGAGTTTAAATTGGTGTTATCCATCCGTCCGTACGTCCGTCCGTCCATCCATCCGTCCGTCCATCCATCCATCCATCCATCCATCTAGATGCATACCTATGTCTACCCATATATCTATCCATACATGCTGTATATACATTCATCTGTCTAGCCGTCCATTCATTGATCTATCTACATACATGCATGCAGCTGTTCATCTGTCCATCCATCTGCAAACATCATACATACAGCCATATGAAAAAGTTTGGGCACCCTTGTTATGTTTCTGATTTACCTTTATAAATCATTGATTTGATAATAAAAAAAAATCAGTTAAATATATCATATAGGGGACAAACACATTGATATTTGAGAAGTGAAATGAAAGTGTGCAATAATTGGTTAAACAAAGTTAGGCAGGTGCATAAATTTGGGCACCAAAAACAAAAAACCCTTAACTCAGTTTTTAATAGATCCTCCTTTCACAGAAATAACTTTCTCTAAACACTTCCTARAGCTTCTAATGAGAGTCTGGATTGTGGCTGAAGGTATTTTAAACCACTCTTCTTTACAAAACATCTCTAGTTCATTCAGGTTTGATGGTTTCCAACCACAGACAGCTCTCTTTAAGTGACACCACAGATTTTCAATAATATTCAGATCTGGGGACTGAGATGGCCATTCCAGAACGTTGTACTTGTTCCTCTGCGTGAATGCCTTAGTAGATTTTGAGCAGTGTTTAGGGTCGTTGTCTTGTTGGAAGATGDAGCCCCGGCTTCAGCAGCTTCAGCTTTGTCACTGATTCCTGGACYTTGGTCTCCAGAATCTGCTGAGATTGGTTGGAATCCATGCATCCCTCAACTTTAACAACATTCCCAGTCCCTGTACTGGCCACACAGCCCCACAGCATGATGGAACCACCCCCACATTTTACTGTAGGTAGCAGGTGTTTTTCTTGTGCTGTGTTCTTTTTCCTCCATGCATAACGACCCTTGTTCTGCCCAAATAGCTCTATTTTAGTTTCATCAGTCCACAGCASCTTATTCCAAAATGAAGCTGACTTGTCCAAATGTGCTTTAGCATAKCTCAAGCAGCTCTGTTTGTGATGTGGGTGGAGAAAAGGCTTCCTCTGCATCACTCTCCCATACAGCATCTCCTTGTGTAAAGTGTGCTGAATAATTGAACGATGCACAGTGTGTCCATCAGCAGCAAGATGATGTTGTAGGTCTTTGGTGCTGGTCTGTGGGTTGACTCTGACTGTTCTCAACATCCTTCAGTTCTGTTTATTCCAGATTTTTCTTGGTCTGCCACTTCGATCCTTGACTTAAACTGTGCCTGTGGTCCATTTAATCACAGTTTCTCACAGTGGAGACTGAAAGCTGAAATCTCTGAGATAGCTTTCTGTATCCTTCCCCTAAACCATGACGGTGAACAATCTTTGTTTTCAGRTCATTTGAAASTTGTTTTCAGACTCCCATGCTGCGAGTCTTCAGAGAATATGCGAAGAGGAGAAAAACTTACAATTGCCTCCCTTAAATGCCCTTTCTCTTAATTGGAGTCAGCAGTGTATGGAGGTCAAGGGTCACTGAACTTACTAAACCAATTTTAAGTTCCAATAATTAGTTCTAAAGGTTTTGAAATCAATAAAACGGCAACGGTGCCCAAATTTATGCACCTGCCTAGTTTTGTTTAACCAATTATTGCACAGTTTCTGTAAATCATATCAACTTCATTTCACTTTTCAGATATCACTGTTTGTCCTCTATATGGCGTATTTAACAGATTTTTTTTATCCAAACAATCAATGATTTATAAAGAAAAATCAGGAAAATTAACAAGGGTGCTCAAACTTTTTCATATGACTGTACGTCCATCTGTCCACACATCTGTTCATCCATCCGCCCTTACATACATGCATCTGTCTATCTATACACACAAACATCTGTCTGATTGGTCATTAGCTTGAACAGAGATGCACACTCCTATTTTCCATTCTCTTTTCTCAAGTCATTTGGTGGGGCTCCAGGCCACTAAACCTAACCCAGCCAGCTGTGAGTTCATGTTTAACACCCAATTTGTTTTACAATTACATTTTTTGGTCACATCTCAGCTCATCCACTGAACAGGAACTAGTATCCATCACAGTGATGTGCATCTCAGACAGAGATTAAAGAAATGGTTCAGTCACAATCAGATGAGTTTTACTCATAATGTAGAATTTGAGATGAAAAGTTACATACATTTTTACATTCGTTCAGAACACCTTCAGTGTTATTATTTTTGGTGTTTGTTTTTCATACTTAAAGAATGAACCTTGTCTACCTCTGTCATCACTTTCTGAATTACTGGTCCAACTACATACCTAACATACTGTTCTGCACTTCCTTCATTCCCCTAACTAGTTAAAATGTATTTGTCATACTTGTTTTAGTACATCAGCTTTGAGGTATGTTTTAAAAATGTAAATGAGTGGATGGCATCCAGAGCAGGTGAGATATGGTCACATGGTTACTGTTCATTAAACCTTTCCTCTAGTTTAGTGTTGCAGTTTGGATGTAGGCACTAACCTTCAGTTAAAATAAGTTTACATTTCTCTCATCAACAAAAGGCAGTCATAATGTTTTGGTCAGTGTCTAAATACATATTTGTTAGCAAGATATTTCCTGAACCACTGCACTTGAAACTTAATAAATCTTGCAGAAAGTAATGAAAAGGAAAACATAAAAGAGTTGAGGGGGGTCCAATGAACACCACTATAAATTTGTTGGGCCACCACTGATCACCATTATTTGTTTGGTTTGGTGATTAGGGGTCCCCAAGAATTGTACCACAAGCTCCTTGTCTAACCACGATATTCAAAGTGCTTTACACTACAATCCTCATTTACCCATCCTCACAGCACTCTATCATGTCTCTACAAAGCATTTTGCTGTTGCTATTGACACTTGTTTTGAGCTTCTGTTGCAGGTATAAGATTTGTTGCCAAGACACATTTTTTCAACAAAGAAATAATCTACCAAACACTCATTTGCTTACTTTTGGTGCTAAGTACACAGATCATTCTATGGAAACTAATCAGTGCTTTACATCACAATCATACACTGATGAGACACATGTCAGAGCCAGTGGGGTTTCAGTGTCTTGCCCAGGGACACTTCAACATGTGACTGATTAGTGGGGGAATCTCTCATTGGAGGACTATTCCACTAACCACAAGACAGTTTTTCTGGACGAGATCCTGGGTTCAAGCAGCTGAAATGATCTACCTTCACAGGGTGGCTGGGTGAAGGAAGATCTTACAGATAGGGTGAGGAGCTTCGTCAACAGGGATGAGCTCAATATTTGGATCCCTTTGGATGTTTTCTGGATTTGTCTGACTGGTCAGACTCTGAACTTACTGGAGGAATTACTGTATGTATCCTCTCTGACATGGGGACACTTTAGGATTCTCCTGGGGACTAGGGTTGGGCAATTTTGGCAAAAAAATTAATCACGATTAATTGTGGTATTTAGCCGATAACGATTAATTTGACGATTAATCCCCTGGAGTCCCTGGACACCCTTATATCGTAGTCACATGACCAATTTAGTAGGAAAGATTTGCTCTTTGTAAAAAATTGTTCCAAACACAGATTTCAGGCCATACATCATATTTTAAATTGTGTTGATAGATAAATAAATTACAGAACTTTATTTTTAATGTTTGTCGTAGTTGAAGCGGAGAGGAGCACCGAGCGGACAGACCGGAGTAATCCCCAGTCAGTCTGCCTGGTGGCATTGATCATATTAATRGTCAAGTGCCAAAAAGTAATCGATTAATGTTTTTCTGACGATTAATTGCACACGATACAATTATGCCCAAGCCTACTGGGGACCATTGAATCCCAGGAGGAGCAGAAGAGTGTCTCTGGGGAGAAGAAGGTCTGGGTTTTCTCTTCTCCACCTGTTGCCTTTGTGACCTGACTATGGCTGAAAGATGGAAATAGAAATTGAGAAATGTAATGTTCTTTTATAAGAATGCAAAGTTTCACAAAGTTATAGCTTGGCCATCCATCCTTGGCCCTACTGGCCCTCTTAGCTGTCCCTGGTTTCTAATATTTCTAATAAATGTTTTTCAACCCAGAACCACTGGCAAAGATTTACTCTGGATTTCTCATTTATTCTAATTGAACATGCTCTGACTTGTCGATCATTTGGGGTGGCACCTGGGCTGGCTAATCAGGTTCCACGAGTGCCAAGACCCACCCCAGGCACCCCTCTGGCTCCACCCCTGTTTGCATATTTTAGATGAGTTTGCCACTGATTTGTGAACCAAACACTGCCTCTGTTACCATGGGTGGCTGTGAATGTAAAGATCTAATCATCCACAGTGTTTACGTCACATTCAACAGTAAATTCACTGACAGGCTCTCCCTCAAAGATGRAACTTCATTCAATGATGAAACCATGGCAGAACACCATATCATATTTAAATATGAAACCTGATGTAAACATTTACTAAGCTTTTTTAGTCCATATTTAGTCTAGTTTTTGCCTTGACTTTTTTCAGCCCAATAATAATCACAATAAACTCCAGTCAGTATATCAGCAAATTTATATTTAATCAATATATTGATGTCTTGCACTTTAAACCACATCCTCCTGTTTTTTTTTGTAAGAATAACTATCTGTACCCACAGTAAGTATCTACAGGTTTAAGAACATCTGCTCCCATCTAGACGTTTTTCAGAGAACGTCTCACAGATTTCATCAAAGCCGTGTTAAACTGCATCCATTACAACAACGTGACTTAGAAGAGCCCAGGTGCTGAAGTGACAGGAACGCTCACCAAACATTTGGTGCATTGTGAAGCTGAAAATCCAGCAAAAACAACCCAGAACTGCTGAACAGAATGCTCCATCAGACCAGAATGAGACAGCCGGTCTCCTCGGATCCTGGACATTTACAGACTGGTGTTAAAAGAGAAGGAGATGTTTCACAGAGGTAGACTGGACCTGGAACAACTTTAGAGACAGGTTGCTGTTATCAGAATTGTGAATTACCCTTTCAACAAAAAATACAATTTCTGAGTTTAAACTTGTTTCAACTATGTTTGATTGTAGAAACAAATCTGGCTTGAGATTTGCAAATGATTACATTCTGATTTATTTGATCTTTTGCTCAGTGGTGCTGGATGAAGAGGACATTTGGTTTTTAATTATCTTCAGAAGCAGCTTGGTTACAGAAAGAATATAGCTTCTGGTCGTATTCGCTTGGCCTTTTTATCACCTGCCACTGAAGACAAAGAGGCGATAATGTTTTTGTTTGCATCTGCATTCATTTACATTATGAGTCAGTGGATGAGATGTAGAATTGATCTCTAAAACTGATTAACTTTTGGAGTAAACCTTATTCAAGATGCCACTGTGGCTAACGACCTACACTAAATTGGGTAAAATTCAGGCTGTTCTACAGATAATAAGGTAAAACTTGATGTGGTAGTAGCTGAGAGTCATTCTCTAAACAACCTCCAAGCACTAACAAATCTCATTATTCACAAGATTTGATCAAAACAACAACTGCACCCCTTTTTTTAAACATAAGATGATATCAGTCAGCTTTTAATTTGGCGGACAACCTGGATTCCTTTAGAATTTAATTATCATTAATTATTTTATTATTAACAATTTCATTTTGTGTTTAATCCTAGAATTGCATCCTTTAGTTTTTTCCTTTGTATGTCGGATAACTAACTGTTTCAGTGAGGGGTTGATAAAGAACTGTTCCAGATTGTTCTGCTGAGAATCTGTTCCAGGGTTGGTTGTGCTGCTGATGACAGAGCTGATCAGCCTGTCTGGTGAGGCTGATCACCTTCCAGCCCCGCCCAGATACCTGCTGCCTGATATGAAACCACTCTGACAAGACGTTAGCAGTCAGGTGTGGTAGAGCTCTGTGGAACGGAACAAAACAAGACGTTTCCTCATGTTTTCTGACTCCTGTTACAGTTGGCCTGTGTGTGAACCTACAGCGGCCCATTTCAAACTGAAGAACTGAAGGACTCAGAACCAGGAGGGAGCAGCTGGTTCTGAACAGCACAGGTGGGCTTCATTGAGAAATTAACTTTGGAGATCAGTTGTTGTTTGGTCTGCCCTGTTTGACTGGAGAGATCTTAAAATTTATGTATGTCTATCTTTAAATATATACACACAGAGAGACAGAAAGAGTAGCAACAGTTTTTGTGTGGGGAGGAAAAGCAGCAGATCATATGATATGAGCGACTGACAGCCATCATTGGAATCTGGTCAGGTTTAAAACTGCAGACTGGTATTTCAGCACAGAATGTTTCCTTGAACAGGTTGTTCTTCCTAAACTTGAGTCCAGGTTGGTGTTTCTCCTGTCAGGTTAGCAGGAAGCAGCTGACAGTGACCGGATATTCTCATCCTCATAAGACAATTTAACATTGTTTTTATTGTTGGTAAGTAAAAACACTACATTACTTTTATGTTGCCATGAATGTTTCTTTGCCTGTGTAAATGTGTCAGCAGTCACTATTTTTCCTGTTTCCTCCTCCAATTCCATCAGACTTACTATATCAGCTCATATAATCTTTGAACAGTTTTGCACTTTTTGACATCTACTTGCTTCATTTTTAGCTTTAAGCTACTCTGTTGCTCATTTTAGCTTTGGGCTATAGTTTTGACAGCATTCGCTAAGGCATTAGCATTTAGCGACTGTTTTGCCATTTTAGCCCTTAACATTTTCTCTGACTGTTTTTAGCTTCAATGACTCTCTTTCAGCTTCTTAACTCTCCTGCTGCCTTTGGGTCAAAATGAGCTGTTAGGCTACAGTTTTAAAACTGAGGCCCTGTGGGTCATTTTGACCCAAGAGCAGCATGAGGGTGAAACAACTTTCACTGCAGTCTGTCAGCATTCACTCTGCATTTAACAAAAAATCTAAATTTTGGGTTAACTATGGTTCAGAGCTCATGGGAGCCTGAACTCCAGMAAGTGACAGGGACTGTCTGGTCCAGAGGGATGGGTCAGGAGCAGAGCATCGATTCACTGAAAACAACAAGATTCTGATTTTATGCAGTTGTTAGAACCGTCCTCACAAATCATCTACGGCAGTGGTTCCCAAAGTTGGGGTCGGGACTCAAAGTGGGGTCCTGGAACATCAAGGTGGGGTCCTGAAAAGACTTTCTAAATTAATTACATTTTTGCCTTAGTTGCCTAAAATGTATAAATGTAGAATAATATATATTGTTACTATGCCCATGTTTTGTTGACCTGATACAAATGTTTATCATCCAAAAATAGTTGTGGGCACAGGTCTCTGCTACTGTTTTGTGGGTCAAAAGCTGAAAAGTCTGGGAACCACTGCACTTCAGAAATCGATTTAAAGGGTAATAAAATAATTGGTGATGTAATATTTTCCCTATAATTATTACAAAAACACAAAACAAGTATAAAGTATTTATATTTGTGTAGCCTTTGTTTTTAGGGTTAACAAAGTTTGTGTACTCAGACCAGTAATATTTGGGGTCACAAGTTTTTGCCATAAATATTCTGTGGGTCAGAAGATAAAAAGTTTGGGATCTATGGCACTGGATTCTACGAAGTGTGTGTGTGTGTGTGTGTGTGCGTACATGCTTTTGCTATCTGGTGGGGACATTTTTGACCATTTTCCTGGTACACAGCCTGGAGAGGACCCACAGTTCCTAATGGGGACAAAAGCCTGGTCCCCATGGGGAAATGCTGTTGGTGGGTCAGGGGTTTGATTTAGGAGTGAACTGAGTTCAGGTTAAGAGTCAGGTTTAAGGTAAAGGGTCAGGGTCAGGCTATAGAAATGATCAGTACATGAATGGAAGTCAATACAAGTCCCCACAAGAACAGCAGAACGGGTGTGCGTGTGTTTTGTGTTTGTGTTAAACCATATGAGTCATGGTGCTTCTTCACGCAGACGAACACAGAACCTGTAAAGATCCTTGAAACAGTTTGGACTGAACCACACCTCTCTGAGCTCAGCATTGTTCCTTCTTTAAAAGCTGCTCACATCATGAAACAGGAAACTAACACACCTTTTTAACTCAGATTAGTTTTGTGTCCCTGTATGTAATGCTTTCACCTTTTTTTCATGAAAGTGTAAAAGTGAAGCACAGGTAGCTTTGAAATAAAACATGAAATTAAACACAAACCCAGCTGGATTGGTGATATRGTGTTGGAGTTTAATGGCAGTAAGTCACAGTGTGAAATTGTCTGTGTGAAAGCTACAAGCCTCATTTTACAAATAGTTAAGAGGGAGTTAAAAAATAACTGAACTTTCAATGTTAGCTGAAATATTTGAACAAAGGCTCAAAGAGTAAAAGGATGGACATAAGAGACAAAAAGACAAAATAAATGTAAAAAGAAAAACTAAAGCCCGTTAGAGGGTGGCTCAAAGGATGCAAACAGAAAAAAAAATGACAACACTTAAATAAAACTGATCGGCTTAAAGAAACACAAATAAAAAAAACATTGAAGTTTATTTTGAAAAGCTGTCAATGCACTTTGAGTTTTTTATATTCATAGCCACAAAATCTTCCAAACAAACTGAACATTTAGACATGAGTAGCTGAAGTATTGATACAAGTAAGATATTTTAAAAGAAGAGAAACTAGTTGTTGTAAAAATCCAGTCATGTTTACACGACCTTCTGTTTTCAGATCAGTTCACAGTTTTTTTTGTTTTTTTTTTTACAGAATGTTGACCTAGTTGAGGTTGCTGACTTTGAATGTATCCATCGAACTGCAGGCATGTAGTCCTTCGTCCCCCAGCTGGGACTGTTGCAGTGGTGCAGAGAGCTCACAGCTGAGCTTCAGAGTTGAGCTCAAAATATTCTCTAACTGTGCAGCCTGTTTATCTCRGGTAAAACACAGATTCACCCCAGTTTTCTGCTGCTCTTGCTTCAAGCTCTAAAATCTGACTTAAACATGTTGAACAGCTGACTGAGGCTTATGTTTCAGTTTGTCGGCCTCTCGTAGCCGTTGAAGTGACAGACACAGGTGTTTCTTTATGTTGACCTCCTGCTGTGTCATGAGCTCCCATTTGGCCTGACTTGTTTCTCATCATGCAGAGCTACCCTCATCACATCGTCCCCATGGACCCCCAGGTGTGTCCCCCCCCACTGAGCAGCAGCCAATCGGTCATCAGCTACCTGGACAAGTCCCCCATCAGCACCTTCAAACCCTCCCACTCCAGGAACAGTAGCACCGGCTCCTCGAAGCACTCCAAACAGGTCCGAAACCTCCTGACTTCGGTCTTCAACACTTTTTTTTAAACGTTTTCTGTGTTTTAAAACTCTATTGTGCCCCATCCTAGCTGAACTTGAAGAAATGAACTTTTGATCAAACCTTAAACTAACTTTATCATGAGATCTGGTTACAGWTCACTGTATAATATTTCTTTTGGCTGCTTACATCACTGATGCTGAGCCACAACAGTTTATCTGTAAAACGGACTGATCAGAACATGTTAGAAGCGTCATCTACTGGTTACTTTCTGCAGCTTTCAGTAAGATTCATCTAGTGATTAATGTTTTGCTAACAGAAGCTGACAAAAAGCACATAATATGGGATTATGTGCTGAGTGTTTTTTATTTTTTTATTTTTTGTGTGTGTGTTTCAGTCTCGTGACTGGGAGGTGATGAACGAGTCATGTCCAGGTCCAGGTCCAGGCCCAGGCTCCTCCTTGGACCTCAGTATCCCTGGGATCTGTGAAGGCTACCTGATGAAGAGGAGGAAATACCCACTCAAAGGCTGGCACAAGGTGAGTGTGGTGCCGATCAGACCCGGCAGAGGTTCTGGCTGATCTGAAGGAAGCCCCYGCGCTGGAAACGAGGTGTAAGCTCAAACTAAGGCTAGAAAAATGAAAGTTTTGTGTGAAAGTATGCCTCCGAGCTGAAGGACTTCTGATAGTTGTTGAAGAAACTGACCGTTTGATGATCTTTATGGTCGTTGCACAGAGCACAATGAAATTACATTTAAGAACACTCATTAAAGAGACGCATGACAAACATGGGGGAACGGGTGAACAGGTCATGTGACAACCAGCAGGGGTCYCGCTACCTTTTTATCTGAAGCAACCAGAACAGACAAAATGAGCTACATTTGGGACTGTGTTCATACAAAATACTCTGAAGCAAATTTTCATTTGTAATTCTTACCAACAAAATCTATATTCACAAGTTTCAGACTAAAGGCCTTGTTGCTTTTAGCTGTAGCAGCCATGTTGGCTTGAGTTAGAGACACCAGAACAGATGACAGACAGTGCTGAGGATGCTGACGTCATGGTTGATTTAAAATGCTGACTAATGAGAACCATTGGAACAAAAACCAGAACTGTATCCTTATAAGGACCGAGCTGAGGCTTCAGTCGAAGCTAACCCTAACCTAAGCAAGAAACYATAAGAAAAGTTTCAAATGAGAAGATTTAGCAAAATAAAACTTTGTCTTAGGAGTTCTCAGAAGGAAACTGTGCTAATCCGAAAAATAAAACATTCAGAACGATCAAAGCTAAAACTAACATAATCAAAACAGTAGCTAAAGGCTAAACACAGCAAAAAGTTWGCAAAAAATAAAGAAATGTAAGGTTCGACTGTAAATACTAAGTAGTGATATAAAGTTCTGAACAATTAATACCTAAATGCTAAAAAATAGCTAAAGTATTTGGTCCAAAAAAGAAGGTAAAAACTTATAAAAGAAACTTTATTAGAAAACCAACAGTGAAAATGATGACTCGGCAATAATAAGTAGTTCAAAGAAAAGCAACYGGACTTTTGAAGACCAGTTTCTGTGACCGATGTTTTCAGGGTCGCAATGGCAACTAGATAAACCTTGACCAGCTACTGATTATCATTATTACTGTTGGTGAAAAGCCGGTTGGTCAGCACTGAAGCACACTTTGATCAAATCAATATTTTTTTTTCATTAAACAAATGATTTTGGCTTCAAACATTGATTTAAAACAGGGAGCAACTTATATCAGAAAATCTGAGACAAGTTTTATTTTAAAATAATTAAACATTTTTGGACATTTCATGAATAATTTTGACTTTTTTTTTTTTAGAGGTACTTCCTGTTGGAGAAAGGAATCCTGAAATACTCCAAGACTCAACAAGACGTGAGTCGTGCAAAGTGCTGATCCAGATCACACAGGTCCTACTGATGCTGGCCCAGAGAAAACTCACTTCCAGTTTGTGTTTCAGATCCAGAGGGGGAAGCTGCATGGCTCTCTGGACGTCAGCATGGCTGTCATGTCTGTGAACAAGAAGTCCAAACGGATCGACCTGGACGCTGGAGACAACCTGTACCACCTCAAAGTAACACCAGTCCTCCCATCAGCACCAGAAGGCTGAGTTTAATCTGAGTTTAAATGTTCAGCACGCGTTTCCTCCCCTCTCTGTCAGGCCAAGAGCAGCGACATCTTCTACATCTGGCTGACCAAGCTGTGTGCTCACCGGGTGTTCAGAAAGAACGAGGCCATGAGCGTCCACCGTGGTGTCCTCCACGCTCTGTCTCTGGGTCAGAACACCCTGCCGGCCGTGTCCGCCCTGTCCCAGCAGAGCTCAGTCGTCAGTATTCAGCTGCTCTCTTTCACTTCACTGTTTTAATCTTTACAGGCTTGGTTGCTTTTTGTCTTGTGCTCCCTTAGCTTGTAATCTCAGTTTAGCAAAGTTTAGCTTTTAGCTACTGTTTTACAATTTACCCTCTTTTTTTTTTTTTTAGRTTTTTTTTTTAACAAAGTGTTCATGTTCAGCTTCTTAAACTTCAGCAAACTCATTCAGCACAGAACATATAAGACTTCTGTACAGAAACCTTCTGTACATTAAGATCTGTCCTGCGGTTTGACATATTTTGCTAACAGAGTTGATGCCAARGGTTATGATCCAGCTGTGAACTGGGTTTATATAAACAAAAGTTTGTTTTTGTCAGCCCTGAGAGCTGTATGTTTTTACTGGAAATTAAGAAACAAAACCTGAATAAAAAAATTGAGCAACATTAAAGCTAACGGCTAAAATAAGAGGATACATGATTAAAAAGGGCCAGAACCACTGACTCAGATCTTGGGATTGACTCTCAGCAGGGTTCCTGCAGGTCCTTAATAAGTCTCAAGTCATRGAATTCATCAATCCAAAAATAAGGCCTTAATTAGCCTTAAAATGTCTTAAATCTTTCAGAAGTCTTAAAAATGTTAACTCATTGTAAACAMGATGGTTGTAATTCATCTCAAATAGTAAAATAATTGGTAAAAATTATTTTTTAAATATTCACATGCAGACATGTCCCTTTGATATCACTTCTTGTTATTCCACATGCAAATATCTCAATAACTGTCCATCTGAACAARGTGAAATTTGTTTTGTAATATGTTAATACTGTTGTCTTTCCAAAAATACATTCATTTTTCTTARAAAAAACTGATGTCACGGGCACTTTTAAGGTTTCATCTACAGCAAATTGGGGTTAAGACCCCACTGTGGGTCCTAAAACTCCAAATTTTGGGTTMTTYGAGGATTTCCAGAAATTAAAARAAGTTTAAAACTGGCTGCTAAGAACYTTTCTGCTATAGTCAGATATGGATAAAAACGTTTGATCTATTGGCAATATTTGAGTACTTCAACCAAAAATACTTGGATTTATGAGTTTCTGCCAGTTTTTTTTTGTCACTTGTGTTTATCATGAAATTGGTCTTAAATTTAATTTCACTTGGCATTAAAAAGTCTTAGTCTTAAATTTAACTTGCTTTAAACTGTAGGAACCCTGCTCAGRTGCTAGCACAGCTAATTTTTAGCGCAGTGTCTTTTACAGATGTTAGCCCAGTTGTAGCTGTTTGTTTGCTTATGTCACCTGGCTGTGGAAGCCATCTTGGATGGGAGAAGCTAACCAGCAGTAGATGAACCCAATGATTAAGAGTTCAATAAAACCCATCCAATTGTTCATGAGATGTTTAGCCAACATTACAAACATGCCTGGAGGAAAAGCCTAAATGTCCTGTTGCATTTGATAGTGTGTGATTTAAAACGTTAAGTCATATAAATAGATATGTTGCATAAACAGATATAAAGTAGAACATGTTGTGGACAGCAGGCTTTAACTTTGCGGCTGCTGTTCTTCAGTATCCACAGTATGCCAGCTCAGCGAATGCATACCATCCAGAAACTGTAAACTCCGCCCCCAACGCCTCCTACCCAGGTGTGACCAACAAGGTGTCTGCTTGGCTGCAGCAGACTCATGACATTGATGTAACCTCTGCAGGTAAGAGAGCTGAAACACTGTTCAGACAGGAACAACCTAAACGTCCTCCTCTGACGATGATTTTCCCGCCCTCTGTGCGACAGACCTGGCTCGCAGTCAGGCCGAGCTGACAGAACTGGGTCAGCTGATCCAGAGGCTCCACTGGCTGGAAGGAGGTCTACCCATAACAAATACTGACCTGGAGATGAGGATCAGCATGCAGGTGAGTCACCTGAGCTCCACTGTCACTGGTTTCTGGTTTACTACCATGTTTAATTCTATACATCACCCATTCAGCATGTTCTCATCTGATCTAAACCTTCAGGAAAAACTACATGTTGACATGATGTTTAAATACAGTTACTGTGTAAATACGTTGGCTGTTAAATTTCCAGCCTATTGTTTCCTCTGAACATATTACTACGTAAAATCTCAAAACYGCTATTGTACAAATGGACAGATGCATATAAATATACATGACTAGTTTGTCCTTCAACATTCTATCACAGCTGYTTGTGGCGCTGATGACATCATCAACCAGGGACAGTAACTCTTACAACAGCTTCTCCTTAATGTAGAATTATTTGACAAAGACACAAAATAAACAAGTTTTTTAAATCAGAGAAATGAGCCACTGGAATGAAAGTGTTTAAACTAAAAACACATGTATGAGAAGCTTTGTCTGTACAGCTGAACTTAAACGCAAATGAATCTCCCTCCCCTCCTTCCTGAGGGTCATTASGYTCTCAAACTGAGATGTTTTGGTCACACTCACAGATGTGAATTGTAGAGAAACTATCAGGCTGTCTGATTTAATCTGCAGTGAAATTATCTGCAGAGCACCAGCTGTCACTCCTCTCTGTTTTAAACTGAAATGGATCTATTTGCAGAAACAAGTCCAGTTCTGTGTTTATTTATTTATTTGTTTATTTATTCATTTTTTTGCCTGAATCACTGAGAAACCACACCAATACATTACAGCTCAACACACTGTAAACACTTTAAAGTCATTGAGCCAAGATATTTTTTTTGCACTAAGAAACCACTATCATACCGGGTCCACTAAAAATAAATTTTATGTACTCTTTTCCATTTTATAGCAAGACTGAAACCAAACTATTCTAACAGAAAATTTTCATTTTTGAAGGTGGAAAAAATGTAAGCAGAAGAGAAGAGCAGACTGTTCCTGAACCCTACTGCATATTTATTTTTTAAATTATGGTTACGTTTTGTTTTTTAGGTTTTGCCTCCCTGGAGTACAAAATGTTCTGGACAAAACTTAATTCTTGATGGCTCTAGAAAATAAATTTCTAAGCTTCTTGCAGATAATATAACAAAGTTTTTGGACTAAATTTGTGGGTTCTGCTCAGATCAGACTGATTGAAAAAGTTAATGAACACAGTCAACTGCAGGAGCGTAGGTTTACTTCCTCTTGAAGAAAAATTGTGTAAGCTTCCCCCTCAACACTAGAACAGCTTCCTAAGTGTCCACACTATTTCCAGAATAAAGTGTCCACTTTCATCAACATGCTTATATTGTCGTAAGAATACGTGCAATGTGTAACAGTCTTTATTTATTTTTTTGAAGAATCTCTCTCTGGAAAAACCCAAGAAGAAGTTAGTAAAGGCGATGAGTCACTCCAGGACTCTGTCTCGTGTTGAGGCCATGGGAGGAACGGTAAGAATCAGAATTGGGTTTATTGYCCAAGGATGTTGACACACACAAGGAATTTGTAAGAAAAGAAGTGAACTCCTCCTGTATAAACTCTAAAACTATCTTAGTTTTTCTGATAGACTTCAGTGAACCTTTAGTCAGTCAGAACACATTTGTGTGAACATTTTAAATGTTTTCTTGATAAATGGAACTTCTGAAGCTATAAATCAGGGGCGTCAAGCTCATTTTCACCGAGGGCCACATGAGCGTTATGGTGGCCCTCGAAGGGCCATTTGTAGTTAACTTTGTTTCATGTTTAACTTTGACTAAACAGAGTTTAYTCAAAATAGACACGTCCTCTTTTAAACACTGATAAGAACAAAGTGTCTGACTATCTGAAATAAATACAGAAATATTAAAAGTAAAACAAAGTTTTACTCACTGAGTTTCTAGTGAGTAGCTGCATTATGGCAGATTAGTTTATGTTTGGTGACTTTAAAGCAGCTTATTTTCAGACATTAATACTGTGCTATCCAACTGAATTGCTCAGTTACTTGACAGGAATTTATAAAATGTATTTATTTCATTTATTTGTATTAAATTAACTTTGTTGCATTTAATCATAAATTTAGTTTACCATTGATATAAACAATTTTCATGGGCCACACGGGAGTCACCGACATGTTTGACACATGTGTCATAAAGGAAATATTACGACTGGTTTGCACATGGAGTTTCTGAAATGCCAAACAGTTGAAAAAGTTCTAAAATCTTTGAGTCACAGATCGACCTCTTGTCGATTCTTGTTTGTTTTTTTTAATTGTGCAACAAGTTTTCTTTCCGTCTGTTTGCAGCGTTGTAGTGGACCTCTTAAACCCGTCTCTGTTTAGTCCTGGTGTCTCCAACTCGTCTCAAATCAGAACTGTATTTTTACACAATTACTGGAGCGCTGCCCTGACAGAAAACCGGTCCAGGAGGGACACCCAGACTTCCCTCTCCTCAGAGACACTGACCTGTAAAGAGTCCAGCTGATGGTCCACTGAGGAAGGACTAAATCAGTTTTTCAAAACACCTCATGGCTCCTGATGTGACGGGAGCAGGTGTGGATGTAGACAGACAGGTGACTCTAACCTTCTGACTCCGGGACAATGACGGATCTTTTCCAGCTTGGTGCTGTATGATGGATTCTTTTTATTTATCCAAGAGACCACAGGAGCTAACTGAGCCTGACAAAACTTCAGAACAGCTGGAGGTTATCAATCAGGACCTGCAGCCTTCTGCACATGTGGTTTTGCAGACTATCAACAGCTTGAGGCAACACATTCTGTGAGGGAGACTGGGGTAGACYAGAGGAGTTTAGACTGAAACCAGCAGAGATCAGTATCTGACCATGACCTTGGCTCAGTGTGGAGGGGAGCATCAGACTGATGAAATCTGGTACTGAACTGATTAAACTCAGTGGCATCATGGGGAGGGGCTCTCTCTGGAGACCGAGTCTGTCTCCATCTTAGCTCCTGTTTTCACAGATCTGATGGTCTTCAGTCATCAGAACCAGGGCTGCTGCTGCTTGTTGTTTACTAATGTTTTGTTGCCTGTTCGTTAAAAGCAGTATGTGAACACTGTGTGTCCAGAGGTGTCCAGAGGTGTCCCAAAAACACCTTCTGTCCCAGAAGTCCTGCAGCTCTGGATCCAACTTTATCCTACTTTTCTCCTGTTTGTCAGACTTTAGCTGTCTGTGTTTTGGCACCATCTGTGTCCAACAGCTTCAGCCCAGTGAGAT